AAATTTGTAATTTTCCCAGAAAAAGCGCGAAATTAGTTTGCTGGACCGGCATTTTACGGTTACACTTTACACTAAACACATACAGGGTTTCCCAAATTTAATGAGTAAGGTGCGGAGACTCAATTGAAACCAGATTATCAAAGTTGAGAATATTTCCCCTTGGTGTCTAAACTATCTGCTATAATTAGGAAAGCAATCCTATAATTATAGTAGATATGCTGCAAATGTGGAATACTTTTAAGCTAAATCCTATCACATATTGTGATATTATATTAAAAATGTGCATGGCAATCCAACATATTTGCTGAATTGTGCGCAATCCTACTCTTTGTAACATGATACACATGTGCGTGACAACGTAATCTTACTCTTTTGTAACATGTTCACACGTGCTTGACAACGTAATTCTACTCTGTGGTACCATTCTACACATGTGCGTGCCAGCGTAATCCTACTCTGTGGTACCATGCTACACATGTAAGTTACAGCGTAATTCTACTCTGTGGTACCATGCTACACATGTGCGTGACAGTGTAATCCCACCCTGTGGTACCATGCTACACATGTGCGTGACAGCGTAATCCTACCCTGTGGTACCATGCTACACATATGCGTGACAGTGTAATCCCACTCTGTGGTACCATGCTACACATGTGCGTGACAGCGTAATCCTACTCTGTGGTACCATGCTACACATGTGCGTGACAGCGCAATCCTGCATTGTGGTACCATGCTACACAAGAGCAAGACAATGCAAGATATATGCTGAATTGTGCACAATCCTACTTTTTGCGTGAGTGACAATGCAACATGCTTTAATGTGCGCTGAACAAGTTTCTATAGTTCAATCCTATATCTACATATTTAAAACCTGTCAACTATTTGGGAGTGGAAAATAATGAAAATATGGTTTGCTCAATACAATGTCCGATAATAATGATTAAACGGAATGATAAATCATTATTTTAAAACTATAATTATTAATATAAATCAAACTGTAGACAGATATTATATATATTTATAGGAAGTCGATAGGTAGCCCATAGGAAGGAAAACTTTAAAACTTTATAAAAGAAGTTTGCTAAAAGATATTCATTATCGTTTCTAATTCTTGGATATTTAATCACGGGGGGGGGGCATACTAAAGGGGAGGGGGTCAGGAAAGCAGGGAGGTAGGTAGAGTGGGTCTTAAAATAGCAAGGTGGAAGGGGTCATAAGAGGGAAACCCCCAGGTTCATATATGATTCTTGTAAATAGTAAACCCATTGTTTTTTATTCGTTGATTGATCAATTGTTTGTATCAGAGATTTATTTTTTATCTAAAAAGCAAAATGTGTCCTCTTGTAGCTTTTGAAATGCAAAGTATTCGACTTTAGTCAACAATATGCTTGGATCTTACTCAGAAACCAAATAATGAGAAGGCACAACTTATTCTATGTTTTTCCTAAAAAAATGGATCAAAAGGAATTGGGTTATTACCACTAACTCTGATTTTCTAAACCCTAAAGATTTATAACCCTTTGATATTTCAAACTTAGATTATTTAATCTCACATAATTAATAGTTTGAAATACCAAATGTCTACGACATTGTGTTTGCAACATAAAAATTAGAAAATCAGAGTTTGTGGCAAAGACTCAATTCCTTTAAACTAAATCTTTGATTAACAATTTTTTGTAACAAATCGCTTTAGAAAGATCTGAGGAAATCCTTTCAGCCCCAGTGTTAAATATTTGTTAAGTCTAGGTTCATGACTTGAATTTGTTGCACACATCATAGCTTGTATTTATGTTTTGTTCAAAAGTTCAAAAAGTTTATTAGGTTTGGTAAGAATAATCTTTTTACCGTCCGGACACACTCCAGCTTCCCCTTCTCATAAAATTCGCAAATAGCTCACACTTATTTAAAATTCACAAATAGCTCACACTTATTTAAAATTCGCAAATAGCTCACACTTATTTAAAATTCACAAATAGCTCACACTTATTTAAAATTCGCAAATAGCTCACACTTATTTAAAATTCGCAAATAGCTCACACTTATTTAAAATTCGTAAATAGCTCACACTTATTTAAAATTCACAAACAACTTTCACTTTTGTTTAACTCTTAAACAGTTTATGATTAAGACCTGAGCTGAAAACTTTAGAATGTGTTATCCTTAATCCCAACCTGTTAATTAATCTGGAGATTAAATTCGCGAGGAAAACAAGCAATATTTAATCTGGAGATGAAGAAAAAGAGTGGATCAAGCATTAATCCCGATATCCACCATTCTAAAGTTTCCAGCTCATTAGAACGAATTGGAACACGTTTTTACACTGTAAACTCCCTTTTCAAGTACAGAACCGACAAATGTAATCAGCCAGAGCAAGCTGTACAGTACACAAACGTACAGTACACAAAATTAATCAGCACCTTCTAGATTTTAGTGATAAATTCACCATAGGTTCATGTCTGCCTTCTACTTTTTTGTTCTTTCAGAAAGGAACCTGTTTTTTAGATATAAGAGAAAAAGAAAAATCTAAGAATTCTTTGAACTATGAAAATGATCTTTAAATCTGTAAAACATGAACCTAGGGGAAAATCTAGAAAATAGAAAAGATTTTCTTTATTAAAGAAAAATAATTGTTTCGTATCGTTAATTAACAGCTACCAACGACATTTTTTCTTTTATTGAGAGCTTTCTTTTGTCTAGAGTAATTAGATATATAATATTGATATATCCTATCTTCTTTTTTCAGTTTTTTTGAATTTTTTGTTTTGATCTTTTAGCTTCGTGTCATACGATATATATACTCTGTTTTAACAATTAGTGAACGGATTTTTTTCCAATATTTACTATTAATTCAATCCATCCTATCTGCCCAATCTTCACTATTTATCCAACCTTTCCTATCTATACAATGTTTACTATTTATTCATTCCTTCCTGTCGATCCAATCCTTCCTATCTATCGAATCTTTACTAAGTATCCAATCCTTCCTTTCTATCCAATCCTTCATATTTATCCAATCTTTACTATTTATCCATTCCTTCCTATATACCCAATCCTTCCTTTCATACTAGTACTTCCTATCTATCCAATCTTTATTATTTGTCAAATCCTTCCTATCTATTCAATCCTTCCAATCTGTCAAATTCTTCCCATCTGTCCATGTAGGAAATATTGAGGCCCATTGTAAATTACGTTGAACTAAAGAAATGAATCTCAGTTTATAGAGTAACTCCGTACTGTTTATTTGGAGAGAGTAATCCAGAAATACTGTTTTGATAGGTCGGATCGTACCCATCATTTGGGATCGACATATACAGCTTATTGTTAGCTAGGCTTGTGTCCCTGTGTGGTATTTAGAGTGGATTGAAACCCTCTGTTGATAAAACCAGGTTGGATCGTCCCCATCAATTGGGATTGATATATTGCTTGTTTGGAAAGCTAGGCTTGTGTCCCTGTGTGGTATTTAGAGCCTGGATAGATACGTTTCAAGAAATTGTTATGGAGTAGGTGTTTACTTCATCTAACCTTTTCTATCTGTCCAATCCTTCCTATCCATCAAATTATTTCTATTCATTTATCTCTTCTATCTTTCCTATATTTCCTATCCATTTTATTTGTTCCTATCTTCCTATGTCTAATGTTTCCAGTATGGGATGCACGTATTTAAAGTTTGTTAAGGTTTGATGAGAAATTTAGGTTTTTCTAAATTGTTTGCTTTAAAACTTTTCTAATAGACTTCTTTAGCCCCCCCCCCCCCCNTGGCACCTGATTAATAAATCTATTGTCTAGGGTCGGCACCTGATTAATAAATATATTGTCTAGGGACGGCACATGATTAATAAATATATTTTCTAGGGTTGGCACGTCATTAATAAATATATTTTCTAGGGTCGGCACCTGATTAATAAATATATTGTCTAGGGTCGGCACGTGATAAATAAATATATTGTCTAGGGTCGGCACCTGATTAATAAATATATTGTCTAGGGACGCCACGTGATTAATGAATATATTTTCTAGGGTCGGCACGTGATTAATAAATATATTGTCTAGGGACGGCACATGATTAATAAACAATTTTCTATGGACGGGACGTGATTAATAAATATATTGTATAGGGACGGCACGTGACTAATAAACATATTGTCTAGGAACGTGATTAATAAATATATTGTCTAGGGTCAGCACGTAATTAATGAATATCTTGTCTAGGGTTGGCACGTGATTAATAAACATATTGTCTATGGTCGGCACGTAATTCATAACCATATTGTCTAGGGCCGGCACCTGATTAATAAATATATTGTCTAGGATCGGCACGTGATTAATAAATATATTGTCTAGGGTTGGAACGTTATTTATAAACATATTGTCTGGGGTCGGCACCTGATTAAAAAATATATTGTCTCCGGTCGGAACGCGATTAATAAACATATTGCCTAGGATCGGCACGTGATTAATAAATATATTGTCTTGGGTCGGCACGTGATTAATAAATATATTCTCTAGGGTTGGCACGTGATTAATAAACATATTGTCTAGGGTCAGCACGTGATTAATAAATATATTGTCTTGGGTCTGCACGTGATTAATAAATATATTGTCTTGGGTCGGCACGTGATTAATAAACATATTGTCGAGGGTAGGCACTTGACTAATAAATATATTGTCTAGGGTTGGCACGTGATTAATAAATATATTGTCTAGGGTCGGCAAATGAATAATAAACATATTGTCTAGGGTCGGCACCTAATTAATAAATAATTGTCTAGGGTCGGCACCTGATTAATAAGCATGTTGTCTAGGGTTGGCACCTGATTAATAAACATGTTGTCTAGGGTTGGCACCTGATTGATAAATATATTGTCTAGGGTCGGCACCTGATTAATAAATATATTGTCTAGGGACGGCACATGATTAATAAATATATTTTCTAGGGTTGGCACGTGCTTAATAAATATATTTTCTAGGGTCGGCACCTGATTAATAAATATATTGTCTAGGGTCGGCATGAGTTCTACAGGTATATGCCTGGTGAGGATCCTCCAACTAGAGTTTTCCCGGTCAAAGGAATGAAGATAAATGTAAGTTTTATTTAATAATATTTTTAATTATTTGTCTATTTATTTGTCTTTTTATGTGTCTATCATTTGTCTATTTATCCGTCTATTATATGTCTATTTATGTGTCTATTATTTGTCTATTTATCTGTCTATTATCTGTCTATACATGTGTCTATTATTTGTCTATTTATCTGTCTATTCATCTATGAACTTTTCGGTCATTTATCTGACTATTTATCTGTCTATTCATCTATGAATTGATCTGTCTATTTATAAGTCCATTTATATGTCCATTTATCTGTCCATTTATAAGTTTATTTATCTGCCAATTTATTTGTCTATTTATATGTCTTTATCTACCCGTTTATCTGTTTATTCATCTATCTATTTTTATGTCTATTTTTAATTCCATTTATCTGCCTATTTATCTCTTTATTTATATGTCTATTTTTACGTCTATTTATCTATTTATTTATCTATCTATTTATCTGCCTATTTATCTGTCTACTTATATGTCTATTTATGTGTTTATTTGTCTGTCTATTTATATGTAGCTATATTTATATGCCCTTTTATCTGTCTAATTATATGTAGCCAAATTTATCTCCCTATTTATCTGTCTATTTGTCTGTCTATTTATGTGTTTATTTATCTGTCTATTTATATGTCTACCTTTCTGTCTATTTATTGGATAGACCTTCTTTATAAAGTACCTGCTAAATGTAATGACCTTTTATCTTTTTATCTTTTATTTGCCATAATTAGAAAAATTACGTAGTAAATGCAGTTTCCCCTTTTAAAATTGTGTCAGTAAACACTAGACAAAGGTTAAGATTTACTACGTTACCTGCAACTGGTTCAAATCCTGAATCCCCGATTCAAATCCTCGTAATTCTTTACGATTGAATTGGTAATTCAGGATTTGATTCACCGACAAAGGGTCAAACGACCCAGGGTCAAACGACAAAGGGTCAAACGACACAGGGTCGAACGACACAGGGTCAAACGACACTGGGTCAAACGACAAAGGGTCAAAAGTGCGACAAAGGGTCAAACGACAAAAGGTCAAAATGATAAAAATATTTTTTGATTTGAATCATAGGAAACTCGCAATTTTAATCACAAAAATCCGCCAAACTTTTTTGAAGATTTAATGTCTTAACCTAACCTAACCCTAAATAAAAATAAATAAATGGATATAATTGACCATGTGGCCATAGCGCTCGGCCCCCTAGCCTGTCCTAGCCGCTGCGCTCGGGCCAGAAAGTGTCTTAACTAACCTAATCCGTGGCCGAAGCGCTCGGCTCCCAAGCCTGTTCTAGGCGCAGCGCTCGGCCCATAATGTACCCAACCTAACCTTAAATAATAATAAAAAAATACTAACCGTCAAAATTAAAAAAAAAATTGCCCTTTTGTCGCATTTTTTTACTCTTTGTCGTTTGACCCTGTGTCGTTTGACCCTTTGTCGCGTTTTTGACCCCTTGTCGTTTGACCCTGTGTCGTTTGACCCTGGGTCGTTTGACCCTGGGTCGTTTGACCCTGGGTCGTTTGACCCTGGGTCGTTTGACCCTTTGTCGGTGAATCCAGGATTTGAACCAGCGGTGGGTAGTTCAATGACCTTTTTCCAATTCATTATAGGAATTAAGTCCTTGTCACAAACTCGGATTTTCCAACCCTTTTTCTTTGAAACCCAATTCCGTAGACCTTAGATGTTTCAAAGTATGAATTATGTTTTATTAAATAGTCTAAGGTTGAAAGTTAAAATGTATCCACCATCAGATTGCAAAGATATAGGAATTATAACATTTGAGTTTGTGGCAAAGACTCATTTCCTTCGCTATGATACAATCACATGGGAATGTTTTAGAAGGGGGGTGGGAGGGTTGAGGGTGGGAAGGATCCAGGAGAGAATTGGACGAAAACTATTTGCTTTATAACAACATCAAGTACAAATAAGATTCCTACTCCACAGTTTTATGTGTCCCACTGTACCAGCTAATATTAGATTAAATGGGACAGTGCCCACAAATATAAACAATACTTTTTATAATCAGTAATCACGGAACCCTTTCTGTTTTAATGAAAGTAAATTTTAAAAATTATTTTAACATTTAATGAAGATAATTTTTCAGTTGAACATTTTCTAAAATTGAAATTGTATTTTCTCCAAAGATTGGAAAACCTTTGGATTAAGGTTTGTTTAGACTACAGGGTGTCCCAAAAAACATGGGAATTCAGTGACGAATTCGATATCGTCTTTGTTCTGAATTAGCATTGTAATACCTATAATTTCAAAAGCCATAATATTATTACGTGATTAATAAATATATTGTCTTGGGTCGGCACGTGATTAATAAATATATTGTCTTGGGTCTGCTGGCGCTTCTCTTATACATTATACCATGTACAGTAAATCTAATCTACAATACTAGGCTTCCTTGGCGCTTCTCTTATACATTATACCATGTATGTACAGTAAATCTAATCTACAATACTAGGCTTCCTTTGCGCTTCTCGCCGATTTTCTTTTCAAACATCTAATTGTTCCTCTTTAATCGATTTTTTTCGTGGATTTAGAAAAATCCTGATCCTGATTTTTTAGGCAATTTTTTCCCTGGGATCATGTTAGATCCCATAAAAAATTTAGGCCTGATCGGTTCAGCCGTTTTGACGTTAATCGGTTACAAACAAACAAATAGACAACAAAAACAAGCAAAGTATACATATAGATGATAGGCATAATATATTTTGACTTAACTTTGCAACTCGAAAAGAAATTAATTCTTTGCCACAAACTCTGATTTTCTAATCCCTATATAAGCAATTCAATGCTGTAGACCTAAGATATCTCAAACTATACTTACAGTTAGATCAAATAATCTAAGTTTGAAATATCGAAGGTTTACGCCTTGCGATTGCACAGAAAAACGGATTATAAAATTTGGGTTAGAAGAAAAGATTCAACTTCTTTGTCTTAATTATACGGAGATTAATAAATTGTCTCCTTAAGATTTTCTAAAATGAACATTCTTTACTGTACAAAACTCACTTTTTTTATTATTTCCCCCTCCTTGTTAGCTCTATCTGATAAAAATGTTTGTATCCAGGATTATTTATATCCCATGCTTTTCTTTTTAAATTAATTTCCATCAAGATTTATGCTCCGGGTGAAATTTTTCTGGATTTAGCAATTCATGTTTGCACTTTTCCAGCAGGCTCTACCTTTCTCAGCAGGCTCTACCTTTCCCAGCAGGCTCTACCTTTCTCAGCAGGCTCTACCTTTCCCATCAGGTTCTACACCTTTCCCAGCAGGCTCTACCTTTCCCAACAGGCTCTACCTTTCTCAGCGGACTCTACCTTTCCCAGCAGGCTCTACCTTTCCCGGCAGACTCTACCTTTCCCAGCAGGCTCTACCTATTCCAACAGGCTCTACCTTTCTCAGCAGGCTCTACCTTTCTCAGCAGGCACTACCTTTCCCAGCAGGCTCTACCTTTCCCAGCAGACTCTACCTTTCCAAGCAGGCTCTACCTTTCCCAACAGGCTCTACCTTTCCCAGCAGTCAGGCTCTACCTTTCTCAGCAGGCTCTACCTTTCTCAGCAGGCTCTACCTTTACAATTAACTATTTAGAACTATTAACCTAATATACTCAAATATTCTTCATATTTGCGTACTTAAACGCCAAAATATGCGGGGGGTAAAATGGCATTTATGTAGCATCTCTCAGGTTCCATGTGACATGACGTTAGGGCTAGGTAAAGTTCCGTTAACGGTACAGAGGGTTGCGATAATGAACGGCAAAATAACGTTAATGAAATGGATGAGCCGTTTCTGAAAAAAAATAATGACTGAAAGCGATGACCTTGAATTTCGTTTTTTTCTGCTTAAAATTGCATTAAAATTGTTTAACATTTTTTTAACGTGTTTTGATGTTTTTAAATGTCATCTTAAATGCTGAACAGATCGAGGTGACCTTTAAATTTGGATAAAAAAATTTGGAGTTTGTCCAGCCGTGAAAGAATCTGGTTTCTCCTCAAAATAGGATAAATATTGTTGATTGGAATATCTAGATACTACTCAGTCCGCAGACAAGGATAACTATAGTGCAACTGCTACAGTGCCGTTAATAAATTGACAAACCGTTAACGTCGTTAATAATACAAAAGACTGTTCACCGTAAACGCGCCATTAATAATCTAATAAACCGTTAACGACTGGAAGCGTTAATGATTGTGGAAAATTTTCCATTACCGTCGTTAATAGAATTGAGATCGTTAACTAACATTCATTTAAAAAAAACCCGGTAAATGCCGTTAATGAAACAAACATTTGGTTCTCACCTTTACCTGAAATTTTTCTTTTTTATCGGTTGGAACTAACCGTTACCGAAATGACTAGAAGAAGTTGGAATGTACCCAGCCCTCGGGGGGGGGGGGGGGGATCGAGGGCCAATTTTTTTTATCTCTTGTAGCATTTAGATAAATAATCTCATATCATAATCCCCAACCTTTTATCTTAACACCCGAGAAGAATGTATTAGAACAATCTTTTCTTCACCTTACACCTTGATCAAAATCCATAGAGGTTTCAGCACCTAAAATACAATTAATGTCATATAAAATACTATTTCAACCTATTTTCAAAGATTAATTATTTCAAGAAAAATTATTTCCCCCTTCCAACTTGATTAATATATTTATTGTTTTCACAACAATATTTCTTCTGGAAAAATATAAAATAGGTTTTATAACTACTCTTTCACCCTCATTCTTTAAAGAAACATCACTCTGGACTACCTAGAGCGTTCGGTTTCTTCTATTTGATTTCGGACCAAATAGTATGAATATGTATTCCTTAACATCAACACTCGATCAATTAATCCGTTTAGTTTTGATCAAAGCAATTAAGATTTAAAATATATAACAAAACATATTTGTTCATGTATTTTGACGTTTTTATCCAGTATCAATTTTGAAAACGTCGATATTTACGAACTTAAAAATGGCAACATGTTGTCATATTAATTTAGACGTCGATATCTACGTTTTCGCCCATAATGGGTTAATATTTATTGATTTAAATTAAATTAAAATATTTCTCTAAATTTTTTAATCAAAACTTAAAAGTTTCGAAAAATTAACAAAATGTTTCTAAATTTTGTTGATCTTGGTCATTGCAGAACCTATATTAATTTCAATCCCCCCCCTCTCGTCCGAATTATTATAGTCTTTATATCATTTCTCCTTCTTTACAGACATTTATCAACCATTCGTAGACAGTAGGAGGAAAATTTATGATTTCTCTCATGCAGTTGGATTTTAATATACAGAAATAAATCATGGAATATAAAAGGATTTTTTATCAAAGTTTAATTGAAAAAAGTTCATAGATTGTGATATTCATATTAATCATAGAGAATAGAATATATAGAGAGGAATTTACTAGAAAAAAGTGTAAAACGGCCATTTTGTTGTACTGTTTCCATACTGCAGGTGTACTTCACATATTTATGCTATATAACCTGTTGGGCCCTGGAATATCATTTTATAGAAAATCTAAAATTATTGTTAAAAGAAAACCAAATTATGAAATAGGCTGGTTTCATAATTGACCACTGATCATTTTACATTTTCCGTTATAACTATAAATCAAATGATGTTTTTATTCACCTAATTCATTATAAAGTTTATTTAACAGTTTAAAAAATTCGAAATTGAAATGGATAGTCTAGGGAACATACTGTATTATTGTACTCTACTGCTTATAATTTGTGAACATTTACATGATTTGTACACTTGAACTCCCTTTCAGGCTGAAAGGGACTGAAAAAATTCATACCGAGAGATTCTTTTATTTCCTCTCTATATATTCTATTCTCTATGATATTAATCCTTGTATTTTCTTCTTCGTCTTATTTGATGAAAATATGCTCAATTTGATCTGATAAAACATGAAAAACAGTTTTTTGACCTATTTTTATAAGCTTTTATGATTTTATTTTATACTTTTTATAGTTACTATTTTAAAAAACCTAAAAATTATAACTGTGTATTTTGGAATTTACTCTTTTATTGGTCTAAATATCTTTATATATTGTAATCATTTCTATTTGATCTCAAATCTTTCTAGATAATCTTATTCTGTTCAAATTTATTTTGAAGACTAAAATTTCGTTTGAGTTTTAAAAACAGCCTCTAACTGTTTAGATGACCGCATCTGACCATGTGCGAGTAGTTCTGGAGGATGTTGTGTCCTCCCTCTCCGGGGAGTATCTCTGCGAGGTCACGGTCACACCCACCTACTTCGCTATGGCCGAGACCGCTAATATGACCGTTATTGGTAAGCAGACCCAATACAATCGAAATATACAGAATGGTTGAAATCATTTCAAAATTACAAACATTTACGAGAATATAAGAACATTGGCTTATTTATTAAAGGGAGTGTAAACGCAATGTCAAGTGACCCTCCATGCTAAGATTGCAAAATTTACAACACTACCCCTGAAACCTTAATTTGATAAAAAAAAATGTGGAAGATATCGTCGTTTTTTTGATTCGAAAAGTGTTTATTTCTTTGAATTTCCCCATTGCTTCTTAGAAGCAAGAAAGGCAAAAGAAAATAAAAGGATTAAAGGTTGAAAGGTACAAAAACCTGCATATCTAGTTCATACTTGATCAGACATAGATTTCACGGGAAAAGTTTAAATCAGGCATTACCATCTTCACAAGGACTGTTCGTATATACGATTTTTTAATTTGTAATTTTACAAGTTTGTAATTTCTGTCAGTTATTCGTGAGTTTTTTTTTACCGATTAGTTTTACCGATTTTTACTAATTATTTTTAGGATTTTTATGTCCGTATAAAATTAATTTAGTAAACACTCCAGATTGAGTTATGGCCATATTGAATTGAAAAAAAATTATAACGAATAAACTCAGCTAGAACCAATTTATTTTGATAAGTTTTCCTTACTTTTACTAAGTATAACCAAGAAATTGAGTGTTTGTCACAAACTCAAATGCAGGTCTATATCTTTGCAACCTGATGGCGTAAACTTTTTACATTTTTTACTTGAATTATTTGATATAAAAAATTCAAAATTTGAAATACGACATTTGGTTGCAAATTGATATAGGGAATAATTATCAAAGTTTGGGGCAAAGACTTAATTTCTTCACTAAAGTCAAAATCCTAGTAAACATTCTAGTTATTTGATTTTCGAAGCCTTAAATTTAAAACCGTCTCAAGGACGTTTTCAAAATATTTATTGTCAACAAATATTTTGACTTTTCTAAAAATAAGAAGATAATAATATTTTATGAGAGGGAGAGTATTATACTCTACAATTATTAAATCTTCTTAAAAAGGATGTATAGCTAGTGCCCCTCCATGTAAAGAGGATGTATAGCTAGTGCCCCTCCATGTAAAGAGGATGTATAGCTAGTGCCCCTCCATGTAAAGATAGCAATGCCCGATTTACCTTTTAAACCCTAATCTGACCAAAAATGTGATACGTAATGTCATATTTCTGACTCAAAAAGTGTTTGTTTCTGTGAATCTTCACTGTTTCTAATAAGCAAAAATGCGCACGCCACTTTTGCAAAGAAACCCCAAATGAACATAAACAGTTAAAGGAATCAAAAGCACGTTATATCTTATTCATAATTGATCAGAAAAGGCTTTAAAGGGTACCATTGTGAATCAGGCAATGCCATCTTTGCATGGAGGGTCACTTGAAATTACGCTTATTTTTAAGCTATATTCATGTTTATCTAGCTAACGTTTTATCCATTAAATCATCCAATGTAAATCAGTCAATCTATCCATCTAACCTTGAATTTATCTATCTATCCATCTAGGAGTTTTCTCGAGAAAAATTAATTTAATTTTTCTCATTTTTCCTTTGTTTCTCTTTTCTCGGAGATTTACAACTTTTAGTTTTAACACAAATACATATCTGGGAATACATTTTAATCAAAATATATATCAGAATATACAATATATATATTACAGAATATACCAACTTGGGAATATATTTCTCCTCTAATTATATTCCAGAAGTATATCTTGAAATATATACATCTATTAATAATAAATCTCACGTCTATAATTTGATTTTTCGAATTGTAAACTTCATTCTGGAAAAAACCAAGGGTTTAAAATTTAAATTTACATAATTTTTGGATGCATGATTGACCTACAGGGTTACCCACAAAGGATAAGACTTCAGAGAAGACTGTACAGAATTAATACTGTCTATTTCCTTATATCTAGGACTCTCTGCAACTTTAAACTGGTTTCTTTCGTTGCCGTGTCAATAAATAGGCAATTAAAAGCCAATATTCAAGGCAGAAGACTTAATTTAACCTTGTAATCGTCATATTTTATGATTTTCAGGTCGTCTTTACAGTCTCATCATTTGTGGGTAACCCTGTATTAAACGTGTTGAATTAAAACAAACACTTTCATAAGTTAGTTATTTAAAACACTTTTTTAAATACAGACCTTAATATTTCTGTCTGATAATGTCAAGAAGGGTTAAACAAAATTATATCTTGTTAACCCTTAAATATTAACCTGATGGGAGGGGAAAGGACTTTTAAGGTTTAACATTTCTTAACTTGGTTTTCAAGACTTGAATTCAAATCTAATGAAATGTCACGGTTTTCTCCAACAAAAAATAGTGAAAATAATCTGGCAAATAATAAGATGTGACACATATTTTTTAAAATATTGGTAAAAAACCTTGATATTTCTTTAATGTCATAACGTTTCCAGGTATTAATGTTAAAAATGAGAGTGCCAGGGCTACCAACCAGGGGGGGGGGGAGGTCTCAATTTAATGGGTGTGTGATGCTGTTATTAATCAAATACTTTCACCACTAGCTTATTAGGTGAAATTGGTAATTGTATTCTGCACAATTGGTGTATTTCATGTTTATTGGACTCAAAGGTTGAGGCTAACAGTATCCTTAATTTTAATGATCCCACCCCACTGTATATTCCATTTTTTTGTTGTTTAGATTTTCCATCTCGTGGTCCCGAAATAGTTGTTGGTAGACCTGAATATCAGGCAGGAGAACAGGTTGGAGCTTCATGTACAGTTCCTGCTTCAAACCCATTCTCTACACTAGCCTGGTACATAAACGATGAACCGGTGAGTACATAATAATAACCCTCTACACTAACCTGGTACATAAACGATGAACCGGTGAGTACATAATAATAACCCTCTCCTCCAATCTATATTTAAAGAGTGACATATTCGATTCACTGGACTGGACTCCACTAAAACAGTACCCATGACTAAAACTCACAGTACATCAGTCAGAGTACTGCAGATCACTGAGTGTGTATAAGTGTACGCAGTGTGTACTGTGAACTCCGTGAAAATGACTTTACAAATTTTTCGAAAATCATGGACTTTCTATATATACGTCATCCATCCCTTGAAACATTTTTACCGACTTTATGTGCCGATGGCGAAGTATCTTTTGATCGGGTTTAAAGGGTACCATTGTGAACTGAACATGCCACTCATACAATTAGAGAGTCATTTGAAATTATATCTACAGTCTCTTTAAGTAAATAGTTTACACATAGTATACACATAAAAACATCCTTATACCGGGGTTTTTTCGACAAAACATTAACAAAAATCATCGCGAACTATTTCTAGAAGTTTTAAAACCATTATTTTTAGTTCCTAACTTTATTGGTTGTTTTCTTGCTTCATGCACTTTTATAGCAAATGTTTTGTATTGTATTTGAAATGTTTTCTAGTTTCATGTTTTTCTTTGACATTTAATACTTTTACACGTATTGAATAGGAGAAATTATAAAATACATTTAATACTTTTTAACGTATTGAATACAAGAAATTATAAAAGAATAATTAAACGCGACAAAGTTCTTTTCAGCGAAATATAAATTTTTAATTTATTTTTCTATTCTTTCGATATCAATGTAGAACGAGGGAAGGAGGGCAATATTTCCTGCGTCGAAAAGGACACACAACCTAAACTCTTTAAAAGACACAATTTACAAGGAATAACATTAAGAGAGGGGGGGGGGTAGAAGAAAATGAAAAGAATGTGGCTCGGTAGCAGAATTGATGTGGCTCGTTGTCCTCCCTCGTGTAGAACGCTTATTTTGTGACTTTAAATTAGCGGTTTACAAACATTAAAAATTAATAGAAAATACAATAATTTATACACAAGGACATTTTCGGGGTTTCTTTTGTAGATATTCCATATTTACTGATTCAGTTATTGGATTCTTATTCAAAACAAGCTTATTAACAAACTTTGATCTTTAAATATTTTTTTAATTTTGTAATTATATATGTACTTGTCCTTGGTAGTTTTTCATAACTTTTTTAGATTAAAACAAACATTAACACATTTTTAAGATGAATTTTTCCAGGCGTCAGACCTCTATGTGAGCAGGTTAACTGATTATGGGATAAACTCAGGTGAATAAATAGATAGATAGATAGATAGATAGATAGATATATTGATATATGGATAGATAGATAGATAAAATTTAAACCATATAAATTTAAGAAATTTGCCCGTATTTAAGAAAACATGTTCTAAGATTTAGTTTTCTGTTTGTTAATTCCGTTTATTTAAAAAAGATGTTTGTTAAAGAAATGGTACCCGGACACGGACCTAAATATAAAAATAAATTTATTATTAAACTTTTTGATATTATGAGGGTCAAGGAATACTTACAATTTTGTTTTTAAATATAATTCTTGGAAATATTTTCAGGATATTTTCTAATTCGATAAATAAATTGATAATATTTTAGTATTTTTTCCAAAAATATATGAAAAGAGGTTGAACAATGAAATCTTGTATATTCTGCTGTCAGAAAACAATAAAATGATTTTTATCTCTTCTCTTTCTTTTAATTGAGAATTGCCCCCAAGAATGTTGTAATTAAAGTTCAGGGCACATTTCAATATCACAATCAGTTGAAAATTACAAATTAAATCCTAATTTATATTCCAGGTAAAAATTTCACTGTTTTCTGGTTACAACTGTATCACCAGATAGGTTTCCAACGAAATTTTCGAAACTCGAAATGCGCGAAATTCACGATGCGAAACTCTGAAATTCGTGGAAATCATTAAATTTTTCGAATTTTTCCCACATCCTTATATTGAAATATTTGCAGCAAAAGTTGTAACAACTAAATTTTATTCTTTTCCAAACTTTTCTCTATTTGTTCCTCCTGTATATAATTAAAAAGTTTATCCTCAAAATGGTTAAACTTTGCAGAATTGACACCTTTTCTTTGTTTGGAAATTTAGACTTGGAGATTTCGCCAAAAAAAAGAGGGATTGGGAGTAACGAGGATCGATATCAAAAAATGGGGGAGGGGGGTTAGATGTGCGAATTCCAAAGTTTAAAAGAATTAATGATCTAGTTTCTTTGAAAATTCAATTATTGGTTTCTAAATATAGCGATATTCCCTTACTCACCCCCCCTCCCCCACCACCCGAACATTTTCGTCCAAGGGGGGCATCTTCGACAAATAATAGTAGTTTTTACACATAAACCTGTTTTAATAAATGTATATATGTGCCTCAGATAGAATTCATAGATGCTTTTATAAAAGCAACAATTTTTAATTAAACCGTATATGTATACTAGTGTATATATCAGTTAAATCTAACCAACCTCTTTATATTTAAATCCTTTTCACTGAATCCGTGTTAACTGTTCAGTTTTAGCCGAATCCGTGTTCCCTGTTCAGTTTTAGCCGAATCCGTGTTAACTGTTCAGTTTTAGGCGAATCCGTGTTATGTGTTCAGTTTTAGCCGAATCTGTGTCTCCTGTTCAGTTTTAGCCGAATCCGTGTTCCCTGTTCAGTTTTAGCCGAATCCGTGTTCCCTGTTTAGTTTTAGCCGAATCCGTGTTCCCTGTTCAGTTTTCACCGGCGCTTTTTCATGCCTAACTAAAATGGACGCACTCGTGTAAAAGTACACAATTGGGACATATATAATATACAAGCATGCAAATCTGTATATGTATTTATTTAATGTATATTGCTAATATATACTATATATGTATAATGTATATATATATTGGGGATATGTCAGAAAGCGAGAATACTTTGTCCATCTAGAGACATTTTAGGAGGACTATAGTTAAATAAAAACCAAGTAGAAAATAAAGGGAATACAATGGACCCCAAATTGGAAGACGATTAAGGCTTTTTAGAATCGGTTTACCTTATTCATTGTACATTGTGTCTCAATAAAAACTTCTTTATTGGCTGAAAGAAGATAAATGGCAAAGATGGCGTTACGTAAAGAGGTTGCAAAAATGGTGTTGCGTCAACATTTTGGAAATCCTGATTTTTAATTGTCTTAACTGGGATACTGCCAAACTTGTTTTTGATTTATTTCTGTGTGGAAGAAAGACTATTTAGAAAATTGATGTCGTCATCCTGTGTTTATTGGAACACACTGTTTGCACGGTATGCACAACACATTATTCACAGTACAGTAAAGAGAGTAATGGTGTACGGGTACTTCTGGGAGCCTAAACGTATTATGTTGGTTTTTAGAAATTGAATTACGAATATAAAAGCATGAATATATTCCTTATCAAAATTAGCTATATCATCAAAATCGCTTTAGCCCGTTCATTAAACGCGGTTTTTAGTTTACTAAGGTCTAAGATAAACTGGTTCCATCTGTTAAGCTTTTTTTCTATTTATTTCATTTAAATTTCTGCTTCAGATTTCTTCATTATTTGTTAAGTTGGGGTTTCTATCCCTAATAATTGGTCTTTCTTAAATGAGATTTAAGGCATACCACTGCTTGAATGCAATGCAAACAGGAAAAGTTATTTATAAAAGCAAAACAAGGCTAAGAATACAGTTGAATATTTTTATTATGAATAATATCATTTTTGCGTGATACAACTGTATTTCTAGAATATTGAATTTTTGTTTAGAAAACAGACAGCGGCTTGACCTCAAGTTCCCAGTACTTCAATCTCATTTTAAGGTAAAAACTTCCTTATTTTTTTGTATCAAATAATATACAAAAAGTTATTTTTTTTTAGTTTTTTGCTAATCGATGATATTTTCAAGATTCATTCTTGATATTAATCAATTTCAAGGTATATTCTTGATATTAATCAATTTCAAGGTATATTCTTGATATCAATCAAATTCAAGATATATTCTTGATATTATTCAATTTCAAGATGTATTCTTGATATTAATAAATTTCAAGATATATTCTGGATGTTAATCAATTTCAAGATATATTCTTGATATTAATCAATTTCAAGATATATTCTTGATATCAATCAAATTCAAGATATATTCTTGATATTATTCAATTTCAAGATGTATTCTTGATATTAATAAATTTCAAGATATATTCTGGATGTTAATCAATTTCAAGATATATTCTTGATATTAATCAATTTCAAGATATATTCTTGATATCAATCAAATTCAAGATATATTCTTGATATTATTCAATTTCAAGATGTATTCTTGATATTAATAAATTTCAAGATATACTTTTGATATTAATCAATTTTAAGATAAATTCTTGATGTTAATCAATTTCAAGATATATTCTTGATATTAATCAATTTCAAGATATACTCTTAATATTAATAAATTTCAAGATATATTCTTAATATTAATAAATTTCAAGATATATTCAGGATGTTAATCAATTTCAAGATATATTCTTGATATTAATCAATTTCAAGATATATTCTTGATATCAATCAATTTCAAGATATATTATTGATATTATTCAATTACAAGATGTATTCTTGATATTAATAAATTTCAAGATATACTTTTGATATTAATCAATTTCAAGATATATTCTTGATATTAATAAATTTCAAGATATATTCTGGATGTTAATCAATTTCAAGATATATTCTTGAAATTAATCAATTTCAAGGTATATTCTTGATATCAAGCAAATTCAAGATATATTCTTGATATTATTCAATTTCAAGATGTATTCTTGATATTAATAAATTTCAAGATATACTTTTGATATTAATCAATTTTAAGATAAATTCTTGATGTTAATCAATTTCAAGATATATTCTTAATATTAATAAATTTCAAGATATATTCTTAATATTAATAAATTTCAAGATATATTCTTAATATTAATAAATTTCAAGATATATTCAGGATGTTAATCAATTTCAAGATATATTCTTGATATTAATCATTTCAAGATATATTCTTGATATCAATCAATTTCAAGATATATTCATGATATTATTCAATTTTAAGATGTATTCTTGATATTAATAAATTTCAAGATATACTTTTGATATTAATCAATTTCAAGATATATTCTTGATATTAATCAATTTCAGTATATATTCTTGATATTCTTTATTAATCAAACATTATTTCTTTTAAGGAAATTAAAAACAATTATTTTAACTGTCTCATAATGTTAGTTTCGTCACAATTAATCTGATGAAGTGGAAAAGCAAAATTAACTCTGCAATACTTCACGTTGATTTGTAATAACAAGAATAATGTAATTGCTAATTATGTACACTTTATACAGTGGAAGTTACTTACACCAAAACTGAGAACTTTGATAAAAATACAGCCCAACATCCTAACTTTTAAATTCAAAAGCTTATCTTAACCCTATTCCTGCTGGGGGGGGGGGGTCAATTTGACTCCCCCCTTGTAGTTTTTTTATATAACTCAAAAAGTGTTGGTCTGAGGCTGTTTAAATTTTCTGACTTTTCCCACATACCCAAAGCCCTCCCTTTAGACCAAAACCGGGCTTTAATACTAACTGCCTGAGTCCTCAGGCACACTGCCTGAATGACTCCTTTTTCCTGTAACAAACTAAATCTTTGTTTTGACCCACTTCAACTTGTCAGATTTTGATAAAATTTAGCTTTTTGGAAAGTCTTTGACATAAGGAAACGGATTGCACAAGTTTTGCGAAAAAAATTGCAATTTTTTTGCAAACAACTTGTCAAAGGAAATTTGCACTTTTTTAGTTTTTCTTGATTAAAAATCAGGTTATTTAAAATTTTGCAAAACTTTTTGCATTTAAAATGGCATGGTTAAGGGCTTTTAAAAAATGTATAATTTTTCATTTTTTGGACAAATTTTTTTTTGCAAACATTTTTACTATATAACTGGATTTTGCGATAAAAAATTCAATTTCTGCAAACTTGAAAATTTTCTTGCAGATTCTAATAGTAGAGCACAAGAGCTTTAAAATGATGTATCATTTGTCATATTTGGACATCAAACATGGGATTTAGGGGGGGGGGGGCAAATTTAACCCCCCCCCCCAGCGTATTTTTCAAGTACCCCAGCCTGCAGAGCTAGGGTTAATAAGAATTCATATCTGTTTTATTACTGACTTTTGATTGAGCGATAAAGGAATTGAGTTTTTGCAGCAAAATATTTTTTAATCCCTTTATCTTTGCAACCTACAACCTTAGATATTTTAAACTAAGAATTCTTTTAAATCAAATAATCTGAGTTTAAACCATCAGGTGGCAAGGATAATAAGATTTGAGTTTGTGGAAAAACCTGGTTTGTTATTAGTTTTGGTGTTAATTAAAGAAATTAAAATTAAAATTTTAATTTTAAAATTATAAGTGAACAGTCCCTTTACATTTTGCAAAAAAACACAGTTTTATTATTGAAGAAATTATTGGATTATCATGACTGTTATTTATATTGGTAAAGTCAGAACTGCCAATATGCAAAGAGGAAGTGTCGATTATAAATTTAAATATTTACGGACAAAAACTGAAAAACAAGAAATAACATTCTTTAACTTTTAAAATATTTCCTTAAGTTTCTTAATTCTATATTTCCCTTTTCAGAAAAAGTATTTTTTTTTACTTTAAAAATGAGAAAACTTTCAAAGATTTGATCACTCTAAACCTTTTAAAACTGACCGGCATTATTTGGATGTGGATCTTATTTTTATTTTTAGGGTGCTTTAGAAAAATAATCTACAATTTACAATGTCAAGTTAAAGTGTTTGGCCCATATTGCTTGACTCTAAACTTTCCTGTTTTGAATGGTCGTGTCAAGTTAAAGTGTATGGCCCATATTGCTTGACTCTAAACCCTCCTGTTTAGAATGGTCGTATGAAGTTAAAGTGTTTGGCCCCTATTGCTTGACTCTAAACTCTTCTGTTTAGAATGGTCGTGTCAAGTTAAAGTGTTTGGCCACTATTGCTGGACTCTACTGGAAAACTGCGGAGATAAACCTTACCCAAGAACATCCAAAGGTCTTTCCGATTTTTGAAGGTAACATCAAAACCAGAAATAATGATTATACATGAAAAAAACACGTTCTAGTTTAGTAGTAACCATCTTTGATATAATAGGAGCTGACCCTTCTGCATCTAGATCTTCACCAGGAACAGTCCCTTATGCTGAAATGGTAACCTTTAAATTTATTTCTTTTCATCGTAACATCCGTATTCAATGCAGAACTTTATGAGTATGTTTCCATGTCTAGAAAATGAATAATTGAAAGATTAATAAAAATGAAACTGCAATGCACAACGAATTCTTTATAAAATTATTTTTTTCGAAAAATGTTGAAACCACAAAACCTTTTCTTTTATATAAATAGAAGGCTCGAGGTAAGAAGACTTTTAAAAATGTTATTATTCGAATTAAAACTGATAACATATTTGTTAGGGCTTCGAGTTTTCCCTGATTTTCTGGTACAGTTTCCAACAATACTTCAGACCATGAGAAGTTATTACTGTACATGATAAAATACAAATGTACACTTTTTACGGTTCAGTTATGTACACTTATTTACTAATTAATGTGTTTTTGATTAACTACGAATAAACATTTAGCTCTAGATAGAGAAAAAATTTGAATGCAAGCATGTACACTCTAAACCCAACCAAGAACACGTTAATCCAATTTGTTATGTACGTCCACCCTCCAAAACCCGACTAGATCAAATCTGTACTGTCGTCTTCAAAATTTCATTCTTTGTTTGTAATTATCACGTTTAACCCGAAATCTTTGAATTTTGAGAATTGAGAGAATGAGAATCGGAGAATTTGCAAAGATTAAAGTTTAAATCCTGATTTAATTAGCAAATACAATTAGTGAATGATCGGGGTTTATTTTAAAATTACATTTTACATTAAAATAGTCGCTGGGCTATAGTTCGTTTGTAAATATTTTAAAACAATTTTGGAACTGACCATGTACTATTTTTCCCGGTCATTTGCCAGTCTATGTTACGCGCGCATGCCCCGTAAAACTCCAAAACTAAGAGAGGGGGATTGAATTTTGTAGATCCAGAAAAATAATATCTGTGGGATGCCTGTGTAGAGACAGGCAGCTGGTGGGGTCTTAATGTAAGACATGTGGCCGCAGCGCTCGGCCCCCTAGTCTGTCCTAGCCGCAGCGCTCAGCCCAGAAAGTGGCATAGCTTAACCTAACCCGTGGCCGCAGCGCTCGGCCCTCTAGCCTTTCCTAGCAGCAGCGCTCGGCCCAGAAAGCGTCTTACCCTAACCTAACCCTAGATAAATACTAATTTCTGGATCTACAAAATTCAATCCCCCTCTCTCTGTTTTGGAATTTTACGGGACATTTGCGCGCAACATAGAATGGCAACTCCCTTTTTCCTGGGTAAAAATGTAAACAATCATTTAAAGGGACTGTACGCGTAATTTCAAGTGGGCCTCCTTGCAAAGATTCCAAAGCCCGATTAACAACGGTACCCTAGAAACCTTTTTCTAATCAATAATGTAGGGATAAAATTGTCGTTTTTCTATGTTTAAAATACGTTTTATTCTAATAATTCCCATTCCTAATGAATGTTACTTCGATAATCGGGCTTTGCTCTTTTTTTCACGAAAGGTACTTGAAATTAAGCTAACTGTCCCTTTATGTCAAATCTCTGTATTTTGGATTTCTGTGATATTTGTTGTTGTGACATTTAAAGATTTTACCCGAGAAAACATAAAAATTGAGTCAACTTAGTAAATTAAGAAATGAATTATTTACAAGTAATGTTGGCATTAAAACAACAATTCAAATTGGATTCTAAATTTACAAGTCAATTAATTAATTTAGTTAAAGGAATTTTCAGGTTTTCTGCTTGACAAAAGAGATTTATTTAGCTAAACGATTTGTGAAGATCATTTTTCAGATTTCAAAGATTCTTTTTAGAAAAATTTAGAAAGTTCATTTTGATTTAGTTTAATCTTCTTTTAATTTTAATTAATTTTTAACAGTAAAAGAAGTTTAAATATGATTAGAAATAAGCAAAATAAGTTCAGCTGCAAACATTCCGGTTTATAAGTCGGATAAAAGTGAAGAGTAAAAAATCAAGCAAAAATACGTATTCACTCCCTTTGGTAAACATTTAGCTGTTTTGTATTCGAATTCGAAGTCTGAATTTAGTTTCGTTTCGTTTAGGTTTTAGTATGTTGAATATAAATATAATTTAGTATTATATACTACAAGAAGCCTAAATTGCCTGAAATTAATCCTAAAAATAGTATTTGATTAACGTAAACGATTTAATCAACCCACAGTTAAACTTGTAAACTTATAAAATAATGTTCTTTGTTTGAATAAATGTATTTTTTACAATTTTTTTTAATTTTCGGATTGAATTTAATTAATTCAAAAATTTGATTTTAAAATCCTCATTAACTGAATTCGCTGAGATCCCCATATTCATCTGTTAAGTTTTGTAAATGATTTTATTTTCAATTGATTAATCATATTATGATAATCAAAATAATCGGCTGAAAGTATATAGCAGGTAAACATGAAGTAGATTTTATTCATTGTCATATATTGAAATAATGTTTTCATATTCATAAACTTTACGAATCTTGTATGTATCTTTTGTTAGAACTTGTATTTGTAAGGTACTGCAAACTATGCAGAAGGAGAAAGTACATCTTATTCACCCCGGACTAACCAGAATAGTGGCATTCGGTTTCTTCTATTTAAAATCAACCTTTAAACTAACGGATTTATTTATATTTTTCATTCCAAGAAGTAAATCCCGGTAAAAAAGTATTTAAGAAAAAAGGATAAAAAGTTTTGTTTAATCGGACAAATTGTGATCAAAAGTCAAGTCACAGCTTTCTAGGATATTGACAGAACCGTTAAATCCACGTGTATGTGACATCACTGGTACAACTTTGTGACCTAATAGTGTCTCCTGTAAGTTTGCACAAAAGTAAAAAAGAGCGAATTATTCTTTCTGTTACATATTCGAAATTCAAAACATGTTTAATCTTCTCATTAGCTTTCTAATTAGAGGAGTTTTGTTTGATAAACATGGAAGATTTGAATCTTTATTTGAATCTTATTTTCTTAATTTTGACGTGAGTGTATATAAAGAAATTTTTAAAGTAGCATTATGTATTTTTTTTTTAAATTTCTTATTAGTGTCTAAAATCACAATTTAGAGATATACACGATCTAATAATATGGGACACCTTGTAGTGTATATGTTTTCCATGCACTTGAGGTAGTAACATCTTATATGTTTTTTATCATAAAGGTTCCTAATGTAGAGAAGAAGAAAAATGTTCTAAATTTCCAATATGTAATTGCAGTTAAATTAGATTTTCTCATAGTTTTCCATCTGTCTAGACTAGATCAGTGTATATTTTATCTATAAAACATAGTGATTGCACCAAGCTTCACTACACTCAAGAGACGACCAAAGGAACTGAGTTTTTCCCTTACCTGACATTTTTTAATCCCTGCATCTTTTCAACATAATGTTGTACCATTTGAAATTTCCAAATTAAATTGTATTATCTCACAGAATCCATAATCAGCTTATGACCAAAACTCGATTCCTATATGCAACATAAGTAGTACAAACATGTGACCTCGTAGCTCCTCCGCTGTTCTGAAGAGTAAACATGATATAATATTTTTCAATAATAGGAGTAAGTATAAAAAACATGGTAGATTTTAATCTAAAGTAAAATGTACTTTAAGTTGACACGGCACGCCGCCGCGCTGTTCTGAAGAGTATACATGATATAATATTTTGCATAATATCTTGAGATGAATTTGGCGTGCTGTTATCGATTGCAATATTTGCATGCCTAGGCAAAGCAGGCCTGTAGCCTCTGGTAGGCTTGGTTTGGGGAAGACAGTTTTTACAAGAAAAAGAGTTAAGACAAATAAATTCTCACGTTTTACCTTACTTCCAGATAATACTGGATATCGCATTGATATATTAAATGTAGTCCTTTCACAAAAGATTTTTTTAAAAATGGATTTTTATTTATTTGATATTTCAAAAGTGAAATAGAAATTTGGAAAGTCATGATTTGTTATTTGTTACAATTATCCTCAAATCACAAAGGTTTAGTTGACATAAACTTTATTTTGTGAATTGAATTATCAATAAAAATGCTTCTCTTTTCAAGAGGAGTGTTAAAAAAAATACTGTAGAATAAAGAACACATAAAATAGGTTAGGTTTATCGAATAGCTAGTGGAGTTAAAGTAAAATTTGTTCATGGCTTGTTAGAATACCATTTTAGTGTATTTAATAAGTAGTTAGTTAAACTATCCATTCTAAGTTCAACTGCTTTTAGCTAAAGACTAATTACGACCTCACCATTACTGAAACCACCATGCCATTAAAAAAATGGTTTAGACGTTTCCCAGACATGATATATATGAATAAAAATCTGAAGATTCATACATGTTGTATAATGTATGAATAATAGAAGGTATTTTCTGATTATATTCCATTAATATTTAGATATATGAAGCAACGAGCTGCTTCTTTACCAGATGTTTATGATTATTCTTTTATTCTTCATTCGATATTCAAGATCATATACAGGGGTTTCCATAGAACATGAGTTCAGCACTACTTTATGTACAAGTACGCAGCACAGAGTTAACCATATACATTAGTTCAGTACTTCTTTATGTACAAATATACAGCACAGGGTTAACTATATTACATAAGTTCAGTACTTCTAAATGTACAAGTATATACAGCACAGAGTTAACCATATTACACGCGTTTAGTACTTCTCTTTGTACAAGTAAACAGTACGGGGTTCACCGGATTACATGCATTCAGTAATTCTTTATGTACAAGTATACATTATAGGGTTCACCGGATTACATGCATTCAGTACTTCTTTATTTACAGTACAATATATAGAGCACAGGGTTAACCATATTCCATGAGTTCTGTACTACTTTATGTACAAGTATATAGCATAGGGTTTAACATAATATATCAGTTCAGTGTTTCTTTATGTACTAATTTACAGCACAGGGTTAACCATATTTCATGAGTTCAGTACTTCTTTATGTACAAGTATACAACACTGGGTGTTTACCATGGTACATGAGTAGTATTTATAAAGTTTAGTTATCTTTGTCTGTTTATATCTCCGATAATAACTCAGAAACCTGTTGACCGATTTACCTCAACTTAGAGAACTCAGAAGAACCAAGGAAATGCTCCAAGCTTCTAAATTAAGCGGGTTGAATTTTACAATTAGTTTCCAATCAATGTAGGTTCCTGAGCTAATTGAATATAAAATTAAAGATTTAGAATTGTTTACATTTTACCTTTATCTAGCTTTCCCTGCAATTTAGGATTTTTAGTTTAGTAAATGATAAATTTATGAATTTTCAGAATTACAATTTTAAGAACAAACTTAAAGGTTGACTTGTGTAAATTTTAAGCTTTAAAAGGTTAAAACCCTAATCAATTTAATGTTCTAGGAATAATTTCACTAAAATAAATAAACATTTTTTATACAAAATATGTTTATATAATTTCTACAAGAACTTCACATATATAATTGAAACTATGATACTATCTACTGCAAGTGAGCTTTCTTATTGAGTTTTCAGGATTTTAAAAACCCTGTTAAATTATGATGTATAAAGTGTAGAAGAAAGTAATGCGTCACTCAAAATAAAATGTTCTTGATGCGTCACAAATTGTTTATTATAAAATTATTTTTTTACTCGGTTTATAATTGATGAGACCAGGTTCTCCAGGGTCTGCAGGCTGATGTTTCTCCAGGATCTTTTAAGAGTAGCCTATCCGGTGTAGCAATATTCTAAGGCTGATTCTTTTCCGACATAATCTCAGGTTAAGACACTTTCTGCGGCTAGGACAGGCGAGGGGGCCGAGCGTCGTGACTAGGACAAGTTATGGGGCCGAGCGCCGCACTAGAACTGGCTCTCTCTCTGTCTTATTATGTAATGCGTCATTCGCATGTAACTGCGTTTGGCCGCTGAACAATTGATCTTGACGTTTTTCCAGATTACAGTGAACAAAACAAAATCAAGCAAGAAGAAACCAAATAAATCTCACTG